TCTCTATTGAACGGGACGAGTATCTCACAAATAGTGACTCCACTCATGAATGCGATACCGAATGGATGCTCACGTATTACCACATATAGGAAGATAGCGATAGAGATGGACAGCATATACGCCAACAATAGGTTTATAAGTGTTTGAAAGTTGTTGAGCAAAACATAGTCAACATCCTTGTCATAGTAATACACGTCCAATAGTTTGCCATAATTTTGAGTTTTTTGCATAAATAAATAGGCGCAAACATAAGCAGCGATGAATAACTTGAAGCAAATTAGCGTTAATTTAATTACTCGTAAATTGTACTCAAAATGATCTGAAATCTGTGATGATTTGCTAAAATTCAAATTATATTTCATTTTTTAAATGCAAACACTTTTGGAAAACGAGTAAAAATAGACTTAAACAGAGGATTGTGTGTATAATAAGCGATAAATTTGGGTTTCAAGTCTTCAAATCTAAACATTTATACACATTATAACACGATTTGCAAAAACTCGTGTTAATTCTATATATGATTTTAATGCCATTTGTTTGCATAGCATATGTTTAGAGCATATGTTTTTATAAATAAATTAATGTACCAGTATAGATTGAAGTGATGTTTAGATGTTTATTGCAATTCCACAAACATTAATACATAAGATAACAAATTAAATAATCACATCATTTCTTCAACAGGTATTAAAATATTTTTAATAACTGAAAATTTAAATAAGTTTTTAATGATAACAAATGGATTAACATTCAAATAATTTATAGAAATAAACATTTAAATCACATGAGATAACTTATCTGCAATAAAGTAATTTTGCTGAAAACATATTTTTAGAAATTTAGCTTAACTTTTGTTTTTATAGTAGAGTGTGGTTTATTAAAAAGCTATAAATTATTAAAGGTTTTCATATTTTTTGTTAACCAAGCTTACTGTATATTAACTTATTATTGCATTTTGAATTTTGCAATCCATAGTATTTCAGATTTATTTTACATTTAATGTTTTATTAAAAATATTAAAATAAGAAAATGTTCATAACCTTAAGCTCATTTTGTAAAGATTTAAATTTCAAAATTCAATTTAGTAATAACTAAAATATTACAATCATCTTATAACATTACATTTTGTATACAGTAATTTAATTTAGTTATAGAGTCTAATATAATTTAGACCATAACTTATAGTAATAATTTAAACAAGAAATTTATGTGGCAAATCATATTGCTTCAATTTCTTGGTGCTTCTAATGTAAGTCATGATCGCAAAAATTAGTGCCAAAGAGTTGAATACAACTGATATGACCACTGATGGTATGGATGGCGACCACATATCATTTCCGATGTCAATGAAGTGCCAAACGATGTCCACTTGAATGCTGAGGAGTGATGTGAAGAGAAGGGCGCCAAACAATTCTTTGGCTATAATTCTGATGATTTCTAACGAGAATATTGTCAACACAGTTATGATTAGCAATGAATTTCCAATATATAAGCTCTTCATTAAGTCTGAGTCCAATTCGTCGAAATCCAGAAGTAATTGTCGATATCGTTGCTCTTTATTCACCACAAAATCAATAACTAAACTCATTATCAAACATATTCTTAACGATATTAA